AAGTACACAGTTTAAAAACATTGTCAATTAGAGCAAAGAGGGATGGCTTCAGCCAAGATGAAGGAAGCTTTTAGGTATATCTACTGATCTGTCTCTAGAGGAAACTTTACTTTAAAAACTGTTAATAATCATTCAGCAAACACCACCTAGTTATCGATCTTATCATAAACTGAATCAACTATCTAGTTCATGGTTGGTCAGTGGTGAGTTTATAAATAAAATATTAGAGACAGCTATACGGAATTTCCGGACTTTGCTTTTATGAAAGATGTCTTTTCAGAATACTTCGTGAATGTTTCAGCTCGGTTTGTCTGTCACAATTATTATAAACGAACAACCTGATCAAAAAAAGCATCCAACTATTTTCAATTGAGTTCAATTTTCGATTTGTGTCAGTACAAGTAGATCGAGTAAAAAAGGGCTAGAAAGGGATTTTGGCATGAAAATAACAAAAAAGGATCTGTTTGAACTAAGCGAGAATTTCGAATTTCATGGCCACTCCTGATGTTCTGAACGGTTCGTGCAAATATGAAATCTTATAAAACATCGATTTTGCTAATAAATCACGAGATATGGAATCGTTGCACCGCCTTCGCGTCTTACACTGGAGTCGTAGAGTGTGCGTCGCAAAAAATTAAAATACAGATAAAGACGTCGTGAAAACTACAATTCTAGAAACCTGTCCTGCAGTTGGGAGCCTCAATTTTTTAAAAACTAAATTCCTTCCCGATCCATAAAAAGATATGCGCAAAGATATATTACAACTTAATTAAAATCGCTCTTTTTAGGATAATAAACAATTACATCAAAATGGATATAGCGCCGATCTAGACGCCACAATTCTCTGCTTTGATAAGCGCGCATGGAATGGCTGCATTAAATTTTCTCAGTTGTATGTCATTTAATTTTAATGAATACATTTCTAACTTCAAATTGTACAATTATAAGCCACAGGATGATAAAACAAAGTCACTAACAGCATGATCACATGACTTTCGTGCTGCGAGGGAAACCGAGTTAGAGTGAAACAAACGTGATGCAAATTTATATCCCAAAAAAATTGGAGAAAACAGGGGAGGAAAAGAATGAGAGATCTCGTTCTCGGAATTGCAGAAATTTATGATGAAGAAGAAAAGGAGGACTAAGCATCAGTCGAACGTTGTATCGAGCCTTTCTTCCCCTCATAAGTACAAGTTTGACCGCAATATGGCGTGTCACTTGTTTGAGTATTTCCGCATTTGATGAGATCACCAGGGGGCATAATTCTCGGAGGGGCTTCTAGGTAGGCACCTGCCAGCCTTCGGTAAAGATATGAATGGAAACCACATTCATCAATTTACATCTTTAACAACAAAGTTTTCAACTTGACCTTGCACCAAGATTTCTTACGCCAATAAGAACGCTAATGACGGATGTGCTTGTCAGGAATTGCTCTTCAAAGTCATGTGATGCATGATGCGATAGCAAATTAGATGATACACATATCAACGTTTGGATACGCCATTAGATTCGCTCTCGATTGAGTTTTCTAGTTTGCAGTTAAATCGTAACATGAAACAAAATAGCTTTTATTTAAGCATTGGACTGTATCAACACAGCTCTGTATTAACAATGACATATTTCTCACTTTTGTCATTTTTACAAGCTTTTTAAGAGTTGCGAAAACTTCGTGTAAACAAGCTGAAACTCAAAACAAATAAAAACGTATACAAAAATATCCTTTTTATTATGTTAATGATGATTCAGCTGGATGTGAAAAGCTTCTTTTGGGGGTAAATGAAGATTCTGAAAAGTGACTCTTGTAAAATCGTTACATAAACTGGAAGCTAAGAAATAATTTATACTATAGATAGCTCCCTCGAAATTTACCAGATGCTTTGCGGTGTGACGTTCTGATCTCCTGCTGCGATTGTTTTTTTCATGGGGGGAACTATTAATTTTATTCAAATCTACGTTAATATCGGCGGAAATTTATGAAGCTCGAATGTTTACACAACTGCAAAAACTGCCAGGCTAATTTAAGGCATGCGTGCATTACAAACACTTTACTTCCAATTGAACGCAGTGAACCAGTGAACCGAAACCTAGAAGTCTCCGAGAAAATGAACACGTCCTTGTGGAACAACCCGACTTTATCGCCATGGCCCGATCCTACGACTTCTACATCAGCTGCTTACACAAGTGAAAACATCACCGGATTTCTTAGGAACAACACGAACAGCACCACAACATCTCCAGAAACACAAGAGAATCTCAACCCTTTTTTCTTTGGATTAATTTTCCAGTCTGCCATTGTTCTGGTAGTGTTTGGAAACGTGTTAGTCCTTACAGCACTTGCGTGTTACCGAAATTGGACACCTGCAGACGTTTTGTTATTTTCACTGTCCTTAGCAGATATCTTGGATTCGATTGCCGCACTTCAGCTTTTAACGACTGTGAAATACTACATGAGACGACACATGACAGAAACCTTGTGCAATTTGTTTATAGGTTTGGTATATACATTTCGACTTGCTGCGGCAACCACAGTCACGGTAATGGCCTTAGAACGCGCTATGTTATTAGTAAAGCCCTTTAGACATCATACTCTCATAACAGTTTCACGCATGAAGAAATTTGTGCTTGGAGTTTGGCTCTTTTCCATATTTTCCGCTATTTTACCCTTCATTGGCGTCGGACATTCAGGATTTCGAAATGGAGAGTGTTTTTCGCAGATCTACAATTTGGGTAAAGCATATGCCATTTACATAGAGGTGCTTGGTGCAATACAATTGATAGCGGTGTTGGTTTCTTATTTTACGATCAAACTCTCAGGAAAAATGTTTATTCAGCGACAAACTGTTATGTCGGGAGGCGGTGAAAATGAACCTCATGGCACTCAAAATTGCAAAGATAAACTACAGTCGCTAGGAACAACAAGCGGTGTGAGAAATATCAGAAAGCTGACGAAGATGATGACGATAGTGGTAGTTGTTTATTACATTAGCTGGTTACCTTTCCTGGTGAGTAATGTTTGAGGAAAAAATAATAAAATTAATCGTACTTCTGTGAACAAGTCATTTGAAATGTGATAAATAATGACATTGAAAACCGATTTAATAAGGCTTTCTTTATGCCAAAGTTGTGTAAGCAGGTGTAAAAACAAGAAAACACAAGTTCTTTGGTTAATGTTGAATCTTTTGTTGAGTTCTTAGTCACAATCGCCGGTTGCTATTCGCCAAATTGAACTTACCAAAATCATTTGTGTGCTTTTGATGTCTCCGCGCACGTCTCTCAGCCATCAATTTGGGATGTGAACTGAGAAAGATGTCAATTAACCTTCAGATGTTACAAATAGTTCTAGTCCTAACAAGCAGACTTGCTTCCTCAAAATACAAAGATAATCTTTCCGTTTCGTATGATTACTTGTATCTTAAGTGGTGATTCTGAGTGTGAATACATCGTCAGTAATTCGGTTTATAATCGAACGACCGCTTACTAACACCGACGCCGTGTTAATATAAAAGTTAAAGAGTCAGTCAATGTCACAGTTAAAGCAGGCGACTGTACGATCAGACGTATAAGTATACAAAAGATCCATCTCGTAAAGATGACTGCATTCGAAAGTCTGATAACTCCCAAATTACGGCTTCCTAAAGTAATGTATACTGTATATTGATTGCGGCTGAAACATCTTTAAGTTAATCAAATTCAGTTTAATCGAGGAACAAGAACTCATCCGTCGAATGTTTTTCAATATGGGTTGCGTAGAAGCAGTATAAATATTGTCATCTAAGCGGCTTAACAAAGGTAACCTAGTGGACTCTTTGTCTGCCCGTCGACAGGTCAAAACAAAACAATCTGTTCAATTATCGATCCTTCTACGTAATGCATTTTTAATTGTGGTTGTGCTTAGCACAGGAACCGTTGATTTAAGATAAGCCACAGGCCGCCCAGGCTAGGTGAGTGAGAGATTTATTTCAAAGCGCGATTTCAATGAGGGTAAAGATTGACTTTTAAAAGAGTACCATAGCAATTAGGAGCCGGTAAAATTGCTTTCTTCCACGCTCGTGACATAGCGATTAACGTTTGTCTTTGCCAAAGGAATCTGTGGGCCTGCTTCGTATTTTGTGGCACGGTTTGTTATGTTAGACAGGGTTCTATCCCTTTTAGTTCACTTAACTTTGATAAGACTGGAGAGAGACTCGTATTTTTAAGAATTCGCTCTCTTGGGTTGGTCAAGTTATGTAACGAACATGCGAAATCTACATCATGGTACATATATTAGTTAGTTTTTTTGTTGTTGTTGTTTTTTTTTCCTATTTTTATATTTCCTAGTTGTAGCGCTTTAGTTATTAGTTAGGAGCTTGCGAGTATGTGTGTTATAGATGTTGTAAGATGATAAATGTAAATGTAAATGTACGTAAACCTGTAACTCGCGGTTATGCTTGATCGCCAAATCTGGTATTGAAAGAATGCCTGCTTTCTGAATTTACATGTGAAAATATGTCAAAATGCGACATAAAGGTCTGTTTAAATTATGCAGAAGATGATAAGGTGTCTGTGCTTTAATAATCGAACGCCTTCATTCGGACAATACCGAATGAAGGTCTCACAAAGAGAAAGTTACGTCACATATTTGCGATCTTCGTTTTGAAGAAAGGGACTCTTAAGTCTATGTCATCATATAAAATTTGTCCACTATTCTGCGATCTTTCTTGTTCATTGGCGCAGAAATTAAAAAAAACACAACCTCGAGTAAAACTTTTCATGTTCATATCTGATAACTGAGAGAATCACGAACCAATATCAAAAACCCAATCTGATCATAGTCTGACTTTTGTAATTAATTAGATTAAAAAACTGAGGACTCGTACTCAGTTTTACTGATCAAATTAAAAAACAGAATTTTCCTACTAGGTCACGTGCCACCGTTGACATAAACTCGCTCAAGTTTCTTTAATTCAAGGTGTATTGACCACTGTTTTGACTAACTGTTGCATGTGCATCAACAAACTAACCTGATTCAATCTTTTATCCTTCACAGCTATACAACCTTTATTGTCTGATTGTTGACCGAGAGCCGGTGACCAAAGTTGTGGTGTTTACAAGTGTTATTTCTCTACTTCATGCTGTCGTCAATCCTCCGCTGTACGGTTGGATGAGCCAGCGATACAGACGAGGTTACTTATTTGTGTTCAAAATGGCGCTGAGTGTGTGTGGAGGCAAACGCCCCAGCAGGAGAACCCTAAGTAAGTTCTTGCTCCCCGTGTATTTCATGTGGTAAACTCCAAAACTAATTCTACACCTGCTTTCCCTTGCACCACAGCACTTGTGACGTCAAATTCGGCGCGGACACTAGTACTGTCCATCTGTGGCTTGTGTGACAGATACCTCATCTCTCTTACAAAATGATGACGTGATTCGTCATCTCTGAACAGCAACTGGACAACATGAAAAAGATAAAATATGTCTAAAAACTATGAATTACACTTTTTATTTGCCATAGTGCACGACCCTAATCAACAAATAAAGCTAAGAACTCAATTCCTTCCTTGTAATTCAATGTATAAATTAAGCTGTTTTCAATCTTGTTCACCATACAGGCGTATCTCGGCGATTCTGCCCAGAAGCTAATCTCTCACGACGAGCGACGAGTATAGACTTAACTGTTTGTAGCAGTAGGTTGTCTTTACCACACGTAAATCTTCCCTTTGGTGTGGCTGACAAGAACAGGAAGGAAGGTAGCATGAGTTTGAATTTATAGATGGGAAAAACCTTAATACTAAAAAATAGCACAGATATTGTCTGTAAAACTACCTGAAACCTAAAAAAGGAGCCATTCTGGAGAACGCGATCTTTTATTGTCAGACTCCATGATTTTAAAGACTCAATTTGGTCTCATAAAACATGACTCCTTTAAAAAAAAACATAAGCGAAGCTAATTCTGGAGGATTACGATGGAAATACTGGCACTCACCCACTGACCACTTGGTTACCTAGAAGTCTTCGACCTCTTTAAACGATAATGCACATCAAAAGCTTATTTCTGAGTGTCTTTTTCCATACTTAGATATTCACAGAAACACTTGTATAAAATTTGTCACTTTTTGTTATTACAGCAAGCCATTCTGGCATGGAGACAACTTCGAAAACACTTGGTGGAAAAACACAGGACGACAATGATTCAAACAATAATAACAACATGGCCCTGGCGCAAACAGAAGCGGAAAAACCCAGAGTCGATGACAGCCTGGACAAGGATGTGATGCAGCTATTGGATTCTATCATCGACAGAATAGAAGTATAGTTCATGTTATCATTCAAAGAAAGAAATCCAGTTTCCCAAGTGGACTTTTGCTTTCATTGTGTGGTCACATAGGAACGACCATCATCAGGGTAGAGAACACGCGCATTACGCTTGAAATTTTATCTATCTTTTGCAAAATTCCTGCGCAACTACGCCACCTTACATGTAATCGTTTACGTATGCCCAAAGCTACCGTTTAGAAATCCCTATAGGCGTGAGTATCGTGAGTAGTAAAGTGAGTATCAAAGTTGAAGGAAAGAGAAACTTGAACAATGACTGTATTAGTGGGAACAAGAACCAATCTTCAAGTTTTTTCGGTGAATTCTTCATCAAACTGGAACTGTAAGGAGATGAGTAATTACACAGATTTGCTTGAGTTATGGTGCATAGGTAGACAAATCCATACTAGTAGATAACGGCAATCCGATTCCAGTGATTCGGACGAGTTTTGAGAAGCAAGCTGCAGTTGACAAAAACACTGGCTTTCATGTTCGCTAATTTGGCTCATCTAGGATAATCAGTCACAAGGCCACGTGTGTCCTTTCGCTACTTAACGTTACCGATGAAACGTTCGCGACAAGCGCCGGGGGAAAAAACACTCTATTCCTGGCTACCATTCACGTCTCACTTATGGTCCACGCATGCGGAAGCTGTTTGAAAAGTAACGTCAGAAGAAGCCACTGATAATTTGCACTTTGACGGGGTGTGAAATAGTCAGAGGCCTGAAAAACTGCACTATGCCTTGAAACCGTTCCTGTCATTCCTTTACAATGTTAAGCCGATTAAAATTTTTTCATAAACCAGTATTTGTAAATCATTTACAACGCCCCTGGTTTTTGACGGTTTTTCAAAGAATCGAGTGTTTTTGTGCAGACACAAGAGGAGGTTCTTTTCCTCCAACTTTCAATCCAAAAAAAATTCCTTAGTTTGTTTTGAGTTCTAGTTGATGATTTTCTATCGGCACGATATCTTGAATTTGTTCCTTTGAAAGATGTTCAGAAATTGATGTGATGTCTGGCTGATTTTCCAAAGTTTTCAGATGTTTATCAATTGCTTCATTCGGTTGAACTTTTTCAATGTCCACTGTGTGTTCTTTAATATCACTGACTTCTTTCTCTTTTTCAAATTTTTCAAGCAATGGCTGGATTGGATCGATAGGTTTGGGAGGTGGAATTGACATTTTCTTTTTCGACTTCCTCGTTTTCACAAACGAACAGGGAGGACAGGTTTTGTTCATCGTGAATTTTCTAACCTTGTGGATTGGGGGAATTTCATTCTCGAACTTTAACTTGCCTTTCCTTCCCAACCGACCAGCTTTAGGCGTAGTACTCCAGATTCTCAGCTGACCTCTCTGAGTATGATACTCCCTCCTTCTCACATATGCACCAGTCACTTTATTCCAGTCCTTAACATCTAACTTCATCCTGCGTCTACGCGGAGCAGGAACAACATGCCTACGCGCAGCATGGCCAACACCAGAACCATCAAGACCGTGCGTGGTGTGACTGTGAGTCACGTGACTGGCAGTAGCTTGACTCCTTTCCCATGGCTCCTCTTCTTGAAAGTCTAACGGAATACGCTCCATGTCGGAAATATCAGCTATACCAGGTATTTTTTCTTCATCGTTCATCTCGTTCGCAATCGGTTGCATTGAAGTTGGACTTCCGATGTCCTCCATTTCGTTATCGATCGATCCCATTGGATTTGGCCATGCTTCCGACATTGTATCGATTGGTGGAATACTAGTTGGCTGTGGAAAACTGTTCGGTTGCGCAAATGAATATGTCGTCAAGTTTTTCATTCCGTTTGTGGCATTTTTAACAACAGACACACCGTTGGTCACTTTTTTCTCGTTTACTACAGAGTACAAATTTGTTTTGGAGGGTGCTTTGTTGACAGCGTCGAATTTTCGGCCTTTATCTTTTGTAGAGGGCACGGTCGAGTTTTGATGCATGAAAACATAATTAGTGGGTGTGGTCGATGTGGGAATGGCCAGCACCATTTCAAGAATACCACTGCGGCGAGGTCCGTGTTGGTTGACTATAGAATACGAAAATTAGAGCAGTTAGAACGAAAAACTCCAACATTTTTGAGATCGCTTTTCTACATTTAGTACGGTTTTTACTTCAGTTTTTACCAAGAGTAATTGATTTTGAATGCACGCACTCAGTAAGTATTCATTTCCTCTAGAGATTTTAGCGGGAATTGGGCTCTTTAGCGGGTGTGGTATGATACTGGCAGCTAAGAGCTTATATCCTAGCAACTGAAACGAAGACCATCAGCTTGAAAAAAGCAGTTTGAAATTACATTAAACAAGTGGAAAAGCGGTATCTCGATGAGGCTAGGTATTATTTCTTAGGAGGCAGAACAATTTAAATCCTGTGCTAATTTTTCACACTGCAGGTAAGTCATTTTGAAATATCTTAACGTATACATCTAACTTGATTTTCCTAATATCCATTGTGTAGATGAATTATTTATTCCGCCAGCTGTTATTTTTTAAAACGAGCTTGTTATCATTCGAGTAGAAGTTGAAGACTTTTGCTTGTTTTTATACAGATATTTTACGTTCTTTCCAAAACAAATAATTTTAAGCCTAAACCCTAAATTCCGAATATTTCATATAAAATTAACCAAAGTAGCCTTGATCTAAATGTATAGTCAAATCATCCAACTTACGGGAAATAGATTTTCCTCGCCTCTTTTGATGAGCTGCAGAAAAACTCTTTTCGCCAAATGGGGAAAAAAATAAGAAACTCATTAACATTTATAAGCAAAAGGCTTTAAATAAGGCTCACGCTAAAATTGATTAAATACAATATTTACCTCAGTAGCCAAGTGCAGAGTCAATAATATGAACATTAACATGTTGACAAGAACTCCCGCACTCTTTTCGCCTGGAGCCTTCCACTTAAAATTTTTTCCCTGAAAATAATTTTGCAATGATTCTTTGGCTATTTTGGCTATTATTTTTTGAGGGACTTACTTTCGAGAGGAAGAGTTTTTTTAAGTGTTAAAGTCGTCAACCTGTGGTGCTTAACAGGTGTTTGAACGGTTGATCTTTGGATGAAATTTAACGGTTGCAAAAGCGATAACCTGTCGAATTGAAGACGGGGGTAATCCGGTCCAATGAACTGTTACGCTGAAGACATATCTGGTCCTGAAATCTCTCTGTTGGTTATAAATCCTCCGTTAAATGAATTAGGACATATTTTGGGCTTTCTCGGAATGCATTAAATAAGAAATGATGGCGGAGAATGTTAAAAAAATCTCGATAAAAAGGTAATGATGAACCGCAGTTTGCTTGCTGTTATTGTTGTACTATGGGTGAGGGCGAAACACTTTGGCTCCAGGCGGCCAATCATGGCTTTTGCGCACTTAATATAACCGATAAAGTACCTATTCGTGGTGTATCTTGAAAATTTCTTTATTTATGTCAATCCAAAGTGATAACTTAATATTTTGACTTTAACTTGATGTCGAATTTGACTCTAAACTGTGGATGACGTCACATAAGCGTGGTTCTGTATTTCGTGATGACGTTAGCAGTCTTAAAAGCAATCTTCGACGAACGAAAATTATAAGAACTGTGAAAGTTATCAGATGAGTTGTTACTTTGTAGATTCTTTAGACTGATGGATTAAGAATAATCTTTTTTATGCGTCCACATTGAAATCTCTGTGGTTCATGCCTCTCATGGAAAATCACTTTTACCACTGAGCAACGTGTTATCTGCCAGATTTTGCTGCTTCTGGCATTCGTGATTGTGAAGTGCATTTTTTAAAGAAGTAGTTCTGTCTTCTTTGATGCAGTTTTGTTTATTTTTTGAGGAAAGATTCACCAAGGTCTCGCAAAACTGAGTTAAACAGTAATTGTAAGACATCCTAAACGCTGTTTGAAGTTGTAACCTAACTCATTATGTACCTTTGAACAGACTTAACCCTTGCACATCACACACCACACATCACACATTACACATCACCTTTATTTCACGTCAGATTTACAAGAGTAGCTGTCTAGCTAATTTCTCCGAGAAAGAAAAAAAAGCAGAAAATAAATAAATAAAAACAAAATCGTATATCATTTTTGCAGTGAATTTTTTCACGTGTTGAAAGTGCGTAAACGTTTTAGACGTGTAGTACGTCTTGGTTTACAAGCAACTTAAGCAGAACACTTGAACGAGCCTTAAATTAGAAGGCAATTATGACAAATTCCGTGTCATCTGTAAACAGTTCGCGGCGAGTGCTTTGTTAAAACGCTAGACGCGATTTTCCCTTCGAATTCGTGTCTAGGACAACGCCCTCTTTCTTACTTTTGTTCTTACACAGGTTTCAAAAAGTCGTTCAATTTTTGAGATCTTATTTTAAACCCTCTAACATCCATAAGTGACCAAGACAGAACTTCTGCTTACAATATCAATACAATTCCAACAAGATAAGTTACGAGAATAAAGAAAAATATTAATTAGTGGATTATTAGTTGATCCAGTACCGAATTCTCCAAACTAAAATCATAAGAATTGTTAGGGGACGGTAGGAAGAAAAACTAAAGAGATGTTGGGAGTTCAAGGGTTAAGGCCCATAAAAAGTCTTTTCATAGCTGTTTTCGCAAGTTTGCTACGACACAGTCCTTTACCATAGCGATACTAACTATCGATCTCTAGCTATTAAACGAGGCCAGGACCCAATGCCATCATCGTGTTACTGCCATAGCTAGGATTGCGGAAAAGATTGGCCTATAAAAATCGCGTATTGTTTATAATGGCTTTGGCAATAAGTTCAAGCTTTATAACAGGACAACAAGAACAACTGAAATGTTGCTAACAATTAAATCTTGAAGGACTCGGCAATCATCTTAGTCACTTCACTTGAGACAAACCCGTCCCTCCCCCGCGAGAGAAGACACAAAACATCAATGGCACCATCGCCATGGCATTTCAGCAAGACGCGAATTTATCCCTGGTGAAAATCATGCTTAATTAAGACGAAGTGTTTACTCTGAAAAATAACTTAATTGATGATGTACAGAACTTGCTAAAGATAGCAACACACTGGTCTCTAAACTAAACGGAGTTAAGAGAGTTGTTTACCACCAAAAGGTGCTATTTATAAACAAGGGGTATCTAAATATACATCCAGCTGATGATAGAGGTGTCTTCTTTTTCACACAACCTGTGTCAGTTATAAGGTCAGCTTAATGGGATTAACAAATAACGTTTCGGCGGCTAATAACGAGTAAGATTCCAGGTTAAGTCGTCAAATTTTGAATAATATAAGCCATGACAATCTCGTTATGCGTTCAGCTTCAGCTTATTTCATTTTTAATGAACTCCGTTTAGTCTCATGGGTTATTGTCGTTTACCCGAAACATGTAACGTGCTTCTTTATTTTTCAGGGAAACCTGGTCTCCATGGTTTCGCGAACTTTTCTCTCCCGGCGACACAGAGATGCTTTTTAATTCCTTTATTTGTCCTTTGTCATGAAGGGCTGAAATCCTTTTTTTAGATCGGTAGAACAAAGCAAGGACTGCATGACAGATTGACTGAGCAATTCAAGGCCCTCGCTAAAAATGACAACTCGTCGGCCATTGCTGACCGTGTCGACACCAATGGACCTAACACTGATTAGGATCATTTTGACAAACTGGCGTCGAGAAAAACCGATTAACGTTTTAAAGGAAAAAAACACCACATGTCTTTGAACAAACGCTAACTTTTAATGTCAGCGTTAGCGCTGAGGGGCTGATGCTTCAGTTTTAGCGTCGTGCACGTTTTCTCGCAACGACTCAAAAATTTATCTCTACAGAAAAATGAAACCCAAGTTGTGGTGCCAACATCACAATCAACTCAACAAAACGTCCCTTACATCCAACAGATACCTCGTGTGGTTTCAAAACAATTATTGAATCGGTAAACAGTGTAGCATTCACAGCGGAGACGGCTTTCACATACAACACCACTTAATGCATTTAGAGTTGCTCGAACAAGAAAGAAGAATAAAGAGCTTCTTCCACCATTTTCATTACGCGGAACTCTTTTCCAGATAAATCCTCTCTCAGTTTTTGGAGCGAGGTTGTTCTGATAATTTTTATCACCAAAGTTTGTTTACCAGGTCGATACGTGTAGATGAAAGTCTTTATCATTGATTTCATCGTCCTAATTATTCAAGTTTGCACTATACGGTATTCTTGTTCGCCAACAGTTTTACTTTCTTGGTTTATTAGCGTGTATTGTCACTGGACCTGAACAGCTCGATCAATCGATGAAATTAAGGGCTCTGAGCATTTCAGGGATTCAGTTTTGAGCATTGGTTCCTTACCGTATGGATCAGTTCTATGCTAAGTCCATCCATTTCTTTGTCTCCTAAGAGGGTTTTTTTAGGTTTGATTAGGGTTATGGCAGGAGTGTTTTACTCTAAAGAACAAGTACGAGATCTAAGTCAGAGTGCTCCGCGGGGTTCAGCCTATGAGTAGCCATACCCTCCCCGACAATTGAAAGGGAGGCGAGGGAACCCCTTAGGGGGGAGGGTGCACGTAGGCTACGCGGGGTTTCTCGCGATGAAAACTTACCGAGAAACATAAAGAGACGAGGTCAAGATAATTAAAACACAGAAGCAAAAACAAAAAGAAACATGCAATAATTGAAAGAGGCGTGTATATTTTTGATCAGTTGATTCATTACAAATCGTGCAATTTCACATATTTACCTCACCGACAGATAACTTACAGGAAAAACTCGTTCCCCGAAAAACCTTTGAAATCCAACTTCTAACATGTGGAAGCTGATAACGAAACACCTAGATAGGTAGTTCAATATTATAGTTTCACCCACGAAAATCATTGCTAGGATCTGTTGAATTTCATCGTCACTTTTTGGTGCGATTTTTTTTGAGCTTGAAAGTTTAACTTCGAATTTCAAGACGAAACACAAGTTATCCGAAAAGTGTCAATTCTTAACTGTTTAAGTTTTAGCTATGGCCGTGTTTTTCGTCTCAATCTTTTTCTACATCATATCCTTACTGACGACCGACAGGCAGATTCAACAACATATTCTGTCCATGAGGAAGGTACGCTACATTTCTTGAACGAGATAACTTGTCTGCGATTTCCTCAGCGGCTTCCATTTTCCTGAGCACAACAAGCCCTTCGCCAGCCTCTTTAAACGCGTCTGCTAAAAGCTCTGCTCCCTTAGCGTCTCCCTCAGCCCGGATCACTGTGGCTTGCTTGTGTTGCTCCGCCTGAAAAAAGGACGTTGATTACAGTTAATACGTTAAGCACATCACAGAGCACATTGCCTTGATCGCGCCTCTCCACACAGCACCTATTCAGAGCCGAACTTGAATGAAAAAAATATAATCGTTCTCTTTCTCGCTCTATTCAAATACTACTTTTGGTAAACATACAAAGAACAAATTTTTGTGTCGAAAATTCAAAGATAAGTGTGAATTTTAACAAAAATTACTAAATTCATTGATTCTGTGACACCGCTGGACTGAGAAGGAAAGTTCAAACACTCGCACACACTTTCAGTGTGTGCACCCAGCCGATGTTGTATGCAGAAGAGTAACTAACTTATCAAAGCACGACCTTCTCGGGCTTTTTTCCTATGTGAGCTGGAGACAAAAATTGAAAATCAAACTCCACCACTTTGATATCACTTTCTCTCTCAATCCAGCCTTCTCAAAGCAACTTGTTTGGAACATAATTCGGTGACAAAATAAGACATTTCTGAGATTGAGGTGCACAAAATTGCCTAGAAAATTAATTCTTTCCTAATATCAAGGGGGGTGCAGCCCCCTTTCCTC